ATATATATATATATATATATATATATATATATATGTAATATAAATAATAACATTAATATAAAATATTTAAATAATAATTAGAATATAGAAATATATAGAAGTCATAGTCACAAAATACTTACTGAAAAAAAGAGGCCTGGCACTAGCAACCATAATACAAATCATCAGGGTTGATGAAGGCACATGCAGGTCTTTTTTTATTAGGAAATATTCTGGTAAGAATTTAGAGCTCACTGGAGAGGAGGAGCCATATTGAAACTTGTATATGTTTCTGGTGGGAATTACATGCCTGTTTATTTTTGCTGAATTGGTAAGAACATAAAAGGGAAAATAAGAAAGAATTCCCTAGAAGCTTGTTTATAAATAAGCTACTTGCTGCATTTATTATCATATTTTCATAGCTGTTTGGATCTTGAGCCCAGATGAAAACAAGATTTGTGCTTTATCGTCTCTGCGGAGGTGTGTGTTTGCGTTTGCGTGTGATAGAGTATCTGTGTCAAATGGGAAAAAATGAGCTAATGATCCTGTATTGTTTGCAGTAAAACAAATAATAGCTTTTCAGACCAATGACAAAATGCATGAAGCGCTGTTTTTCATGGCTATCATCTATTTTTCAAGAGATAACATGCTCTCTTCCTCACACAGCGGGAAACTATGTGAGCTCTTATTCATGTTATAAAGTTCTTCTTCTTGTTTACTTTTAGGTCTGTTTGTATTCACAGTGTGTTTTCTCTCTCTGCAGGGCTGCTGATCGGATCGGGATGTGCCCTGTACCCTTTAGGGTGGGACAGTGAAGAGGTCAGACAGACTTGCGGCAACAGCTCTGACCAGTTCGATCTTGGTACGTTGGTATATAGACAAGTTCAGATTTTTACGCTCACCATTTAAAAGTCTGGGGTCAGTAAGATTTGTTTGTGTATTTATTTATTTAGGGGAAAAATTCATACTTTTATTCCAAAAGGACACATTAAATTGATCAGAAGTGACAGTAAAGAAATGTTACAAAGAATTTGTACATCAAATAAATGCTGTTATGTTGGACTTTTTATTCATCAAAAGAA